TTACAAGACTTCTTTAGGACAAGTTCCCAAGTGCCAGGAGAATCAGTAGTTTTAAATGACGGTTCTGCAAGTATCTTATGTGTCTTGCTTTCATAGCTGGGGCTTCACAGATGGGATGGGAAGGGTCCACAGAAGAAGAGCTGATGGAATAGTTATCATTTCCCTTTTTCCTGTTCCACAAGTTCACTTTTTCTTTTTTTTTTTTTGAGTTTATATGGAAACGTGTATCAGCAACTGAAAAGAATCAGCCACTACCAGAGTTTTTTTCTTTCTTTTTTTTTTTTCCTGAGATTAGTTTTATGTCAACACTTCTCCACTGACTCCGCCGGGATTGCTTCTGCTGCATCTGGGAGGAAAACAGGACTCTTTCTCCTCACATTACCTCACATACTGGGAGTTTGCACAAAAGAATAAGCCCAGTGGTCCTGTTCTGGATTCTTTTAACTTACATAGAAAATATAAAATTATATAGAAAATATGTGCATAGATTTAGAAACCTTGGCATGATCTAGTGAAAAAGGAAAACATTTTCCTTAATGTATAATTGGTCATCATTAAAATACAAATGCACTGTGAGATAATGTCCCACAAAGCAGTCGTAATAATGCAAAGATAAAAAAAAATGACTCGCATGCCTGCAGACTCTCATAGGATCTCCCAGTATCCCTTCCAGATGTACTCACTGACCAGTAAGGCATCCTTTGTTTTGCCTTAGTACTGTAACAAAAGTGGTGGCAGCAGAAAGAACAAACCCTTGAACATGAGATCAAGCTTCCCCTAAGCAGAACACACACTGCAATAAAGATCAACAAGCATCTGAAGCCGGCAACCTCAGCTTTCCAGAGCCTTATGCCAATATGAATTTGTACCATCAAGCTGATTTGTGGCAGTGGTTTTCTGCACTCTTGCTCCAAATATATAACTTAATTTTTTATAATTGTATTTAGACATATTTTTTTCCTAAGCTACCGCAGATACTCTGCTGGGATTTTTTTTTTCGGGGAAGGAAGAAAGAGAGAGGAGACATAAACCTTACACATGTACCACAAAATGAAGTATGTGTTTAAGATCTGTCTGTCCTACGTGCTTCCCCCTTCACTGATAGCATTAGTATTTTCCTTATAGTTTGATCTGAAGTGCCTGTACTGTGCTCAGCAAGCTCTGCTGAAAGACTGGACTGCAGCGTACTTAGCCCTATTCATGCCCAAATTATCCACAATATATTAATGAGATCCTGGTGGTGATTGTGTTAGGCCCTCCTGAGGCAACCACTTACTGGGCTTAAGGGTTTTCTTTTAAAATACGGATTACTAGCTGAGAGAACAGGCTTGGATCTTGGTTTAATTGACAGTGAGACATATCCTAAGAGTTTTGATGTCTCAGGCTGAGATTTTAAGGTCTGCTTCACCAAAAAAAAAAAAAAGGAAAAATCATACATATTTACATGGCTTAGGTCTTAAAACAATTTAAAGGCAATGCTGAGAGTGAGTATACACTGTTCTCCTTATGTGAACTCTGCTTAGTATGGGAGGATGATTACAAATTAGCATTGTGTCATTTTTACTTTATCTGTTCCAGGTTTGTCTTACCTCTCCTTTGCGCACTCCCCCCATCCCCAGTGCACGCTAGAGAGGCTCTGAGCCTGTCCTGCCTGATGGCTACACGTCTGCAGCCAGGGCAGTCTGCGAAGGCCCGTGAGAGGAGTCAGAGCACAGCAAGGTGCTGAGCAGCCCCACTCATCAGCTCGGCTTCGCACACGCGTGGCCTCCCAGGAATTCCCTGCGGGCAACCACGAGCGCTGCTGATATCGTGGGGCCAGAGACGCTGTGCGACCGACTGTCCAAGCTGTCTCATCCTACGAGCATGTACCAAGATCCTCATATAATTAAAGCCTGCTCGGGATCCACCTTGGAGAGGCTGAATGACTGTCATGAGCAATTCCACAGGGATGCTGAGGAAGCACGGTGCTCTCACAGGACAACCAGGTACCACCTGGGGCCCAAGGTACCCTGGCCAGATAGATCTCATCAGCCCCTCGGTTTGCTCGGAATTACTGTTCACCTCTTTGTCTTCATCACAGAACAAGGCCTGACAGGATGGCTTGTGAAATACAGCGGGCTCTGTATCTCTCTGCATATTGTCTTCAATAATGCACTTTAATGTATTATGGGGTCAGAATTACTTTTAGAAAAGGTTTTACAGATTACATGTTTTATTCTAGATTATTCTCACTCTGTTTTCCTTTTAATCAAAGGAATTGATTATTTTTTTTACTTAATATTTGTGATTTAATTCATACCAACAGTTGCTAAGTTATGTTTGGATGTGTACTGTTTCTTACCAGAGGATGATACCCTCAAAAGTCCAACCTGCCTCAACAAGACACTTCCTTGATTTTCCATCAGAGCAAGTAACCTTCTTGCTGCATCTGCACCTGCAACCGCTCACCCCTTTGCCACCATCCTTTGGTGGCTGCTGTGGTGCACGACCAGCACAGATCGAGTCTCACTGGCACCTTCCAGTATGCAGCATATGGCATATGATCAACTGATCAACTGGGAAAAAAAAAGGTTTTAAATAATTCTCTCTCAAAAAAGCCCAAAACAACAACTATAACAAAAAAGCTTTGATGATAATACTTTGCAGAGCACCCTGCAAGCAGTCATGAACACTCAGTTTGCAAGAAAGAGAAGTCTAATCTGTCATGAGGGGTCAAGTCACACTTTTAGGTAATAAAAGCCATGGGAGCAGGAAAATAAATCAAGAAAAGCCCTGATTCACTTTCCCCTCTAGTTTCTGAGCACCACACATTTTCTGCTGTCAGGTGTCCAATATGTATTTCTGTGCTGGGAACTGAACTCTGTTGCTCTCATCTGTGTGTATGTCGACTGCTCTGGAAAGTGCTGATATGTTCAGCTGGCCAGTATCAGACAGCAAAAAGTTGTATGGCCACTCAGCATGACATAGTTCAGATTCCTGAGTACAACACTTGGCATGAAAGAATTTAATCTTTGCTTTGTCTTGAGTATTTAGGCGTGGCTTTTTTACTATTTTTGCTTCTTTGCAGATCTGCACCTAGGCTTTCTGGAGAAAGCTGTTAAGGACCTATGACTTTGACAGAGAAGACACTTGTGATGATGAAGTCAGAACTCTTGCTAGCCCTTTGGAGACATCAGTTGTGATCAACTTCCATTTTTCCTATATGCAGCGAATGTGAACAGTTCTCCTTCCTTACACTAGGACAGCTTTGTCTTTTTCTTGACCATTCTTTGGACATTTAAGGCACCATAAAAAGAACAGCAACAGTCTCCCAGCGCTTGTCACCCAGGTGCTTCCCACGTGCCTGCACTGTTTGACAGGAAGGAAAATGACAGGAAAACGTTGAGAGTGATCAGAAACCAACATTTATACACCTGGCAATGAGTGGGAAGGGACATCTGGAGCGCCTGTGTGTCTGTGGGAGAATATTGTGGCAGACAGACTTGGCTCTCTGCTACAGCACAGGGAAAAGAGGAGGTGGGTGTGGGCGGGAAAAGGTATGATTGGTGTCTCCGAGCTTCAGGAGGGCTGGGGAAATTGTTTACTTCTTTGTACCAGCACAGGAAACGTCTTTGTTTATGCATCTATCTTGTGGCAGTGAGTCTGGCTCGCCCACAGCAGGGATGGAGAACTGGAGCTGGATTTCTTTTTATATGTATTTTTCAGCCTAGGCATTGGGAAAGGGGAGATTTATTTTTCAAGTCTGTCTACATATCTACCAGCTGTTTCGAAAAGGAAAATATGTGCAATCTGTACAGATATCCAAAGGGAAAAAAAAAAAAAAAGAGAAGCACTGAGCCTGGGGCGGGGGGGCATCATTTCAGTGCTGTCCTGGGCTCAGCAAATGTTCATATATCTATTTTTGGTGCTAATGACGCTCAGGCCGACAAAACCAGGAATCCAAAGCACCATAAAGGACCTTTTATATGGGGGAAACCACCCCCCACCTCCCTCACCATAGACAGCGCCACTTCCAAACGGTGACCCTTCCAACGGGGCTCTTTGCCCTCAGTTGTTTTTATTCTATTTTTCCAAGTTTTCTCCCCATTCCTCC